GTAAAGTTGTTTGAGTGAGTTTATAGCCGAGGTCGTGGGTTCTAGCTGAAAACTTGAATTCAATTTATTGACAATCCTTTGTATCGCTCACCCATCCATAACTTGGATTTCCGGTGTCATTAGTAGAATTATGAAACCATAAATATGGTGTCGGTCCATGAAAGATCGAGCATATGGCATGTGACCTATTTTCTGTTTTATTATTTAGTGCATGTATAATGAATAAAGAAATTTTTCAATAGTCTTGCCCCATGTTATATGGTTTAATGTAGCGTTGAACTTTTTTTGGCCTTTTCAACGTCGTCAGACCTGCCAACAACCATAATGAAAAGTGTTGTTTGTGCATTTCTTTTTTGTTCGTATACTGATCCTCACATTCTTAATTGATGTGTGAGAAGCAATGGGGGCGAGAGAAAATGGTGAATTGGGGCAATTCTTCATTTGGAGAAGATCTAATAACTGATAAAAATAATCTCTTCATCTTTCTTTTTAGAACCTTTAGTTACGATGCGTTGTCACATTAGAGGCAAAATATTTGTATACATGTTGTCTTCGTAGGGTTAAATATTTTTACAGATTAACGCAATAATTTTTTCAACCCAACCTTTATATCTGTTATGAGACATTTCGTTGCAATAAGCTCGAAAATAATAAAATAAAAGGGTTTCCAAACTACTGGAAGACATGTCATAACAGAACGTAACTATGTAACCTAACGCTTTGTCATCACCTACAAAGATTTAGGGGTCGTTTACCAAACACTTACTCGATAAATGCTTACCGCTAAAATTTAACATTATTATTTACTTACCGGGTAAGATTTTAGTCCATCAAAAAAAGACATTGTATGCAACAATTTACCCGGTAAGCGCTTACCGTGTTAAGAGTCGTCGCTCTCACTTGTCGGGTAAGACTCTTGATTCTTGTCTCGCTCTTACGGGTAAAATTTTTAGTCATTATCATATTCATGTACTGAGGTAATGTGACTTAGTGAGCGCTTACCCGGATAAGCGTTTGGTAAACGACCCCTTAGTTGCAACATATGTATTTTCTTATAGTTATATGCCAACTTTGATCCTATTTATTGACGTGGCATTGATAATATTATTTTGTAAATACCAACTAATAATAAGTATTTTACATTATTAATCCCTTTTAGGTATTATAAAGTTTATAATATTTAACCATAAGGATGATGTTTGATTGGTTTGAGCTTAAACTCCAAATATCAAAAGTGTCTGGATGTCTCATGTTCAAATTTAATGGGTAATAAAAATCCCTTATGGCTACAAAGGTTCAAATGCAGTGACTCTAGGCTACCTACAAAACAGGTGGTCATCCTGTGATTAGTCGGCTCGCATAGCGGGTTATATATCCAGGTTAATAAAAACAAGTTTATAAAATTTAATCAATTACTTATGCTATTACATATTTTACGAACATTTCCAAGAGAATACTTTTAATTAGTTGATGATGTGGAATTGTTTTGCTTATTTGAGAACATCAGTGTGAATGTTAAACAAATTTTGATTCTAGTCGGCATTTATAAGCCATTAGATAAACAATAGATACTTAAATATTTAAGATGTTACATCTTAGATACCAAAATATATGTACTAAAAGTAAGTTATAGATAGGAACCAAAATAGCGTGGAACAACGTACCTTCTATTTTCATGTACTTTGCTCTTTATATAACGTTGAGTTGTATATTATTTGTAATTTATCAATATATTAAAGCAGATAAATATTGTTTTCAATTTTACAGTAATAGTTTTTTATGTAGAAAAGAATTACCATGATTTTGTTTTTTTATTAACCTGGATATCCAACTCGCTATGCGAGCCGACTAATCCCAGGGCGACCACCTGCTTTGCAGATAGCCCGGAGTCACCGCATTTGAACCTCCGTGGCTACAAGGGGATTTTTATTCCTTCTTAAATTTGAACCTGGGACCTCCTGATACTTTTGACCTTTGGAGTCAAGCTCAAACCAATCAGGCACCACTTTTATGGTTAATTACCATGATTTTGTTACTGTTGTAAAATATTGTCAGCAATGATAACACTATCAACCATCGGTTGTTAAAGAAACAGTGATGAAAGTTGTCGATATAGTAGATTTTGCAATGAGCCACCATTCGCGTTTCAAAATGTTATCATTTTGCAATAGGGTAAAATGCATGAAATAATAATCTATTTTTCATAAATTTTCTTATTATAATATTGTACTTTCAGTTTTTCTTATTACATCAATGTGCTTTCAAATTATTTTTATTTGGACACCGTACTTTGAAAAATTTACCTATTATAATATTGGATAACCTATTAATTTAAATTTACCGATTATACCAGGTTTTCATGCCACCTCACTGTCCACGTAGGCCGTCCACATATACTATACCGCTGACGTGACATTTTTTATTATAACAGTGTACTTTTAAAATTATTTTATTATAGTATCACCAGTATCTCTACTTTTAGTTTTATATTTTATTATTTAACATTGTACACTCAATCAAACATGTTTAACTAAATTTAGTATCTGTTTTTAATCCAAACATTTAATTAAAATTTAGTCCCCCAACATCAATATTGTAGAAATGGATAACTTTTTTATTTGAATTAAGATTACATGATACAAGTTACCATATTTACATGTTATGTCATTGTTCACATGGGTTCCAGTGTAAAATCTTGTTGATGTGACATTTTTTATTATAACATTATATTTCTAAATTATTTATTAATATCCCAATGTGAAAAAAAATAGTAAAACACAATTATCTCAACATTTTCAAAGAATATGTATTTTTTGAAAAAAAAAAATAAAAAATGTTACATTTTTTACTAAAAAAATATTTATCTTTTAAAGAATATATCATATTT